TTGAGTTTTTTAATAAAAAAATCAGGGTGGGTATAGGGGAGGGGATTACATTACAACATAGAGAATCGAACCCTCACCAACAAAATGAGAGTTCAGATAACCAACCAACTGAGCTACTATGATTCCCCGATTATATATTGAGCTTCACTTACTAGATGTACATTAAACATTACTATAAGTTAATCAAGAGGAAGTCGAAATCCACTGGTCTCCTTGAATAAAATTTTGTATAGAGTATGAGTTAACATGTTCAGCTGGGATTTGGCTACTCCACGACACTCGTCCTGCTGTATTAGCTCCGGCACCAGTATTTCTATATTCTCCGTAGTATAGAGTCTTCAACGCGAAATCACCACTCCAGGGCAACCATCCGTTAGCGGAAATAAGAGCCTCTAAAGTACAATCTAGAAAGACAGTCCGAGAATACTCCTTCCATGGCCTTCCCAGAAAATTTTTGTGGACTTTGGGGTTGCTGTAGTACAAGGACATGTATTTGTCAGTTCCATTGATCAAACAATTTTGGAAGACGAAACCAGTTGATTGTGCAGGGTCTATCCTGCCATGAGCAGTCACAGCATTCGTCTCTCCCTTTTCAGGACGGAGTTGTCGAGGTGCTATTAGGATGTCACAATCTTGGAAGAAAGAAGCTGAGTTTCCGAAAATGAAGTCTACATTGCCTTGGATACGGCAGGACTTGTAGTATTGGCGCAAAGCGTGGGCGTATAGGGTGTCTTGATTGCCAATGAATTCACAGTTCTCTACAACTGAAAGATCACTGTCGGATCGGAATGCTACGGCTTGGTGAGCATCCGGACCGGCTGTGTTTTGAAAGGTGATACCACTAGCCATGAATCCATCACCAACAACTCCTGTTTTAGAAATACTAAACATTAGAACAACTCGAAACTACGAAAGTTCATCAATTAAGTATGTCTTCAACAACAAATAGCAAATGCAGATTTTATCATCACTTGAACCTAATGCAAAGGTTTATGACAAATGCAAACATTTTGCACTTCTTGCATACCCCTATGATCCTGAGATGGATCAAAACGAGCTCACTAGGCTCGACTGAAACCATTGCTTTCGGCTCCATCCATAAATACACATACCACAAAGTTAATGCTCATATGTATACATGTGTATACATTAGACTCATTCCAAATCCACCGACAATAAATTCTAACTTAGCGTTTGCTATGGAGCAAGGACTATATCTTCCCTTTTTCATACTAACCACATAAAGTAAATGCAAATAGAAAAAATAACGCAAAAAACCAATCCCACAGTTTGACTAGTATTTCATAAATCCATTTCAAAACAGGTGAGCTTTGAATGCAAACACAACAACACAACAACAAGGGGCAGACAAATTAGGTTCTTAGAATCGACAACTTTAATACAATTTAAAGTTGCTAAAGCGATAGAGTCCCACTATTTCTAACTATTAGGTTTGATTTTAAACCGAAAAAACACAGGTGAACAAAATTGATCATCCTTAAACAACAACAACAAAAAACCGAGTGACCGGTGTAATTCCACAAGTCAAGTCTAGGGAGGATGATGTGTACGTTACCCCTACCTTGTGAAGGTAGAAATTGTTTCCTCAAGACCCTCGACTCAGGTAAAACATAGGTAAATGATAACGAATAAGATAGTGGGGCGGTAATAAACATTTTATAATCAAATAACATAAGTATTAAAATTCGAATTCAATTAGATTGACTTACCAACTGTTGCAGTCTCATAAGTAGTAACACCAACAAGACCAACACTCAACGAACCCGTAATGACGGTTTTACCCATTCCATCACCCAAAAATACCACATTCATCTTCTCCAACCCGACCCGAACTTTCTCCTCATACAACCCGGTTTTGATCCATATCACAAACTTCCGGGTTTGCTCGTTTACCGGTGCAGCATTCACCGCCTCCTGCACCGTCTTATAGTCACATCCTCCTTCTTTACACACCGTTACATCCGGTTTCAACCCGGTAGGCACTCCACCCTTCACCTGACCCGATCCGCCCGAACCCGAACCTTCCCAGAACCCGTCTCGTTCTGTTTTGGGTACGGTCCATGACCCGGTGTCGGCGCCGTAAAGGTCGAAATTCACCATCATCCCCAATGCGTTGCTGCTGTACCCGATCAAGGAATTGATAAACGACATCGTTTTGGATACCTGTGAGGTGCCATTAACGTACTTCAAAGCGGACCAGCAGTCGTATTGGTACACCATGACGGAGCTCATCCATGCACGAGCGCTCTTGTACCCGCCTTTCATCACTGCTTGACCCGTTAACCCGACCCGATATTCCGCATACCCGAGCACCTCCATACACACCTTCCCGGCGTCCGTACGGTTCTGATTATTCCCAGTCGACGCATCTATAATTGCCTGCACCATCTCTTTCGCCTTATCGTTGTTCTTCGACGATACTTTAACAGCCGATTGGATGATCAACGACGTCGTCAGGTCAGACGGTAAGTTACCGGAATCCGTCAGTACAGATTCACATGTTGGTGGGTCCCGTGAAGCTTTACAAGCACCTCGGATCTGAAGTGAAATTGAAGGGGATGTGGAGGAATTGGGGGAATGGTGGCGAGCGGCGGAGGAAATTGAGAAGAAGAGGATTAGGGAGAAGATAGTGAGTGTGAAAAAGGAAGCCATTGAAATGAAAAGAAGTTTGAATTTTCGGAATAGTGTGGGTTTTGCAGGTTTTCTTGTGTGCATGGTGGGTACCCTTTTATACAAATTTGTGGACTGTAAATGTCAAAAAACTGTACAATTTGAACAAGATAATTGAATTACAGTGTGAAAAAAAGAATGGGGTTTGGTGAATTTGGAGGAAAGTGGAAGTTCACGGGAGTGGATAGTGACTAGTGATAGCAATGAGGAAGAAGAAGAAAAAAACACAGTGGAAAAAAGCACTTTGATTTGATAGTGATGGTGTCAGTTATTTAAATTAGGGATCTACCAAAATGTGCTGTTCCTTTTTTAAGCACACTCGACATTTAAATTTGTATAAAATTAATATATGCATGCATAATATTACTGCCACGTAGAATATTGTATAGGATATGAATTGTTATGTAGGACGTTAAGTAAAACACGTGTGTTTGTTTGTTTAACTGAATACAAGTTGCGGACATAAATATCATATAAGTCAAATTAAATGACATATTTATATGTATTTCCTTTTTGTTAATCAACTTTAATTATTTTTTTGTGTTAATTAGAGATGAGAGCTTTTGGTTTGCTCTTAATTTAGGGAGCTAAGCTAGTGGTTAATAAAATAAGTGAAAATGACATGAGATCAGAACTCAAATTTGTGTGAGGACAAGAAAATAAGGTGTTTGGTTTGTATCATCATGCATATAATTCATTTTGATAATGTATAACCCGTTCACGTGATTACTTCTATACTATTTGGTGTATGTATTTGTCTCAATCCACACTAAAGTTTAAGTTTTTGAAATTTGACGTTACGTTTAAATACATATTTATTTGAAATATTTACGAAATTGTGATTAAAAGTTCTACAGATATAGAAATTGGTTTAACTTGAAAATATTCAAAATTTTAACTAAATATAATGATCAAAAGATATTTAAAGATAAATTTTCAAAATTTGATTTAAAATTTATGATCAAACAGCTCGTAAGAGGGCAGATAATGACTATTTATACTAGAACAAATGGTTATCTTGATTCATTAGAAGCTGGATAATTAAAAAAAAAAATCTTGTTGAACTACGTGCTTACTTAAAAGCTAGTTCTAATTAAATCATATCTTCTATCAAGACATTTAGCGAGGAAGTAGAAGCCTTTTTTGAAGGAAGCTATTCAAGAACAAATGAACCGTTTTATACTTCATTAATAAGCATTAAGAAATATTAACTTAATTTTTCATGAAAATTTCGGTAGACTTTAAAAGATTGAATAATGATTATCTTGATGTTTAGAAGATTGGATAATCTTGATGGGATTTGGGCAAAATTCAGAGAAGGTGAATTAATTTGACTTGTAGATTTTGAACATGTTTAGATTCGTAGAAGGTGAAGGTAGAGCAAGGTAGCAAGAAAGTAGTTGACTTACTTTGGTTTAAGTAAATTATTAATGATGATTCATTTTATATTTATCTCGTATAATTATTATTTATATTTTAAAATGTACTTTTTTGGACTCGTTTCAAGGTTAAATACTTGACAAACTCTTCGAGGTGCATCTCGGGACTCTTATTTAGCTAGGATATATATGTTCTGTGAGTTGCCTCAAGTATGTCAACAATCAAATTTCTAATTGATTTGGACATATAAAATATTCTCGACGTCAAGCTAGAGAGATTTGAGATTTCGTAATTAATTTAGTGAGTACTTTTTAAGTAGAGCCTGGTAGAAGAAAATGAAATAGGAACAATCATGTTAGTCGTAATAGAACGACTTTTATGCTAATTCTTGCTTTAGTATGAAAAGTTTCATTTTAGAAAGGACAACATATTACACTACTGAAAGATATTTACGTGATGAGTTTAAGTTTTGTGCACCGTCGGTGTATGAAATTTCTACACCATCAGGTACTTTTAATGAAATTTAACCATAGTAATTTATTAAATAAAATAACAATAATTATAAAAAGGAAAAAAAAAAGAATATCAACAGTTGAGTCCTACTTGGATTCTAATCATATTTATTTCTATAACTAAATTATTTTCTTTCCATACTTAAATACAATATTGAGTTTTACCGTATGTTTTCCCAGAATCATGCTTATGTAGTTCTTCAAAGCTTCAAAACTTGTGAATTTGCTAAGTAATAATTTTTAAAGGCATCAGGCGATTTTGAAACTTGACAAGCTTCTTCTACCTAGTGGTATGTCGCTATACAATTAGAACAAATTTCACATTTTAAAGTATATAGTGGTATCTTGGATCTTCCATTAAATAATGTCATTCTGCTAGTTTTTTCAAAACTTGTGCACACCAATTTGGCAACCTATCTAGTGCTTCCGTGCTAGCCTCATAAGAGATGCTTGCTTTTGAACTTCTTCAGTTATATTCAACGAACTACTTTTGTCTTGTCCATAAAACTGGATACTAGTAGTACTAATAATGTTCTGTTCCACAGTCAATCGGAGCTCTCTTGAACCATACTCATCAGCCAAACGAGCTAGGTCATCAATGTTGTTTGCTTGGACACGACCCATTGGAATGTGAAGGACGATAAAGTTGTAGCCATCTTGTTTCTCTGGAAAAAATTTCTAGACTACCTTATGATTTATGTCATATTTCTATCTTCACAATAGTCAACAACAATGCATATAAAGCTCCTCTTATCCATTCAAACAACATGTATATTACATGGTGTAAAAGAAATGGAAGATGATTTGAAGAGCAAAAAAGAGACGTTTTATGATTTCAAATATAAATGTATTCAGAATTTGTACAATTGTATGAAATGAAATGAAATTTTATACAAAATATGAAAGACTGAAATTAAAATTTATGTAATGTATTACGTCCAGATCTTTGTACTTGTTCTGGTGCCATTTTGGAAATGAAGAGAAAATTCATAGACTGATGATACTATTAGCAGCTGGTGAGAGAGGAGGAAGAGAGAAAAAGCTCAACAACATCTGGTGTATCACAGGGGCCTGCACACCGAAGTAGTATCATTTTCTTGCGAGTATCCTACATTAACTATCATGTGTTTCCTAACTATTTATCAAAACACGCCTCGAAATTAATGAGTCTTATTTTAAGCAGCAAAAAATCTTCATATACCTCCCAAATACAAGTCTATCAATCTCTAAAGGGTAAAATGAACAGGAAAGCAAAAAATAAATTCAACTACTCTATTTTTTTATAAGAAAATCCAAGCAACTACAAGTCAGCAGCAATTAGAATTCAGTATGTACTTAATCTTCTTATTAGGCCTCAACTGGTTGTTGTGTCCACACTTCTTCTTGCGGCAGTTGATAGCACGAGGATGCAACCGAGCATAGCACTTGCGGCATATCAGTACCAGATGTAATCAGAAACCTAAAGTATGTAGTAAAAATATTTTTTGTTTGATGAGGATCAACCACACAGTAAAAATAAACAAAAGATAAGAGACGATCTCATATCCAAGAGAACCTGCTAGACAAGGAATCTATTTTGTCCAAACAAGAGATGATCCAGTAACTAGAAAAAAATCAACAATGTAATAAAATCATATACACTAGCAAACTCAGTTCATTGATCAACATGCTTACCTGTTGATTATGTCCAAATACTAATACTGTCTTTACACAATAAACACATCAAAATAAACTATGAAAGGACTATTTAGAATTAAAAAACAGAGAAAAACTAATAAATCTAAATCTAAAGAACTATTTCTTCCTCTTTCCTTCTTATTCTCAAAGCTCCAAATCTTCTATCTTTTTACTCACTAACTAGGACGATATTGTTGGAATGGAGTTGAAGCCGCTTTCATCAAATCCTGATAAGAGAATAATAATTCATCAACACGCATCTTATCATGTAAACAATATATACACGACATGATTAAAGAAAGAGCAATTCTTACTGTAAATGAGGTGGCATAAGCACAACCAGCGTTCTCAACATATTCTTGATGAAATTCTGAATAAGCATTAATGTTTGAACTACAAATGTAATTTTAGAAGTTATTACAAAAGTAATCCCAATAGAAATAATATGCATCATGCTAAGTGAAATTACCTTGTTTCCTTTCTCTTAAGTTTCACACTTTTCGTTTGCCTTTTTTGCTTTTGAGAAGATCTTCTTTTAATTTTTGGAGACGAAACTTTTTTGGTCTTCTGAGTAACTTCTAGAAAACCTCTCATCCTCAAAGATCTCGGGCGCCCTTTAGTTGTTGCTACCGGAGGGTCATGCAAAGTAACATCTTGACTTTGTTCACATGAGTTTATTTCCTGATCTTTCTCACTAACTTGACCACCTGATACACAATCTTCCTCAGATTCATAAGAAAGCTCATCAAGTTCTCCACACAATTGCAATAATCTTTGATGCGCAAATTGATAATGTTTTTCAGACTTTGTAGCTCGTTCAGATAACCCAATAGAATGCATCATAATGTTATTAAACCACAAAGTAGAAGGTTTCAAAGTTTGTGTTACGTTTGAGGGGTCATTAGCTTTTTCTTTGGTTGCGTTTCTTGTCCATCGATCTAATAAATAATACATTGGAAGTGAGTGAATCTGTTTTTTTATAAATACCATTAGTACATGTCTACATAGAATTCCCATGAACTCGAACTTGTGACATGAACAAACAGCTCTTTTCAATGCAAGATCTAGACTAACGATATATGCTGGCCTTTGTCTTTGAAGCTGATGTACTTTATAGATGTTTGCTCCATCCTTGACCTCAATCTTTTCGGCGATAAATTTTTGAGACTGAATTAGTTCTTCTTGAAAAATCTGAAACATTTTTCTTGTATATTCCTTCGCTGCTTCATCTTCCATAGGATACAAAGTTTTCAAGATAGGTCTTGAATGTTTTGTCTTGTAATCCTTCTCCCTTACTTTATCATATCTAGCGTCAATAGCCTTATCATATTGCACCACAAATACACTCATTGGAGTACTAGAATTCAAATAATCTTTAAAAAATTTGTTCATACTCTCACTTCTTTGACTTGTCGACATGCCTGCACAAAAAGTGCTACGCACATATGCCGGTATCCATTTTTCCATTTTGACCGCAAAAACTTTTGACTATTTGGAGATGCAAGTTCATGATTGTGCTCAGCAACAACCCTACAAACAACCCATTTATCTTCTCCTTTCTTCGACATATATAACAACGCTTTGCATCCTTCTCTAGTTTCATCTTGTGGTTTATTGCTTTCTAAATTTTTCTTTGAACGAAATCCTTGCTTCGAACAAACAAATTCTTGACCAATTATTGATTTATCTTTCCTTGATTTAGTCATACGACCACGGCGCACACTAAAACCATTACGATGAGCATAATCAAGATAAAACTTAAATGAATCATCAAGAGACTGAAACTCCTTACTAATGTAGGGAGCTTTTGAATTTTCCACACCTATATCGGAAGCAGTTTGTCCAGTTCCCTCCATGTCACTTTCTTCTAATAGAACTTCAACTCCTATATTTTGCACATCTACATTTGATTTTTCCATTAATCCTGCAAAATACAATTAAGAAAGTTAGATAGCTTACAATAATGAATCTGCTCATATATTTTTCAACACTTCAATTATAAAACATATTCAATATTAATGAAAGTTCAATCAATAAACTCCTTCCCAACATTCTAAAGAGCAGAGCAAACGTATTGGGGACAATATAAAAACACTTTAAGATACAATATTCACCTCTCATGAGACTATATTCACTTATTTTTAGTACATTGAAATTCTTTTGCTCATGAAGATATTGTTCAAAAGAGGCTTTTTTATGCTGGCAAACGAGAAAAAAAATGTGAAATTTGTTCATATTGTATAAGAACGAACCACTAAGTAGAAGAAGCTTGTCAAGTTTCAAAATCGCCTGATGCTCTAAAAATTATTTCTTAGCAAATTCACAAATTTTGATGCTTTGAAGAACTACATAAGCATGATCCTGGGAAAACCTACGGTAAAACTCAATATTGTATTTAAGTTTGGAAAGAAAATAATTTAGTTATGGAAATAAATATGATTAGAATCCAAGTAGGACTCAACTGTTGATATTCTATTTTTTTTCTTTTTTATAATTATTGTTATTTTATTAAAATAAGTTACTATGGTTAAATTTCATTAAAAGTACCTGATGGTGTAGAAATTTCATACACCGACGGTGCACAAAACTTAAACTCATCACGTAAATATCTTTCAGATTATTAACTTTCTCTCAATTTTTGTTTCTCTTGTTTTTGGATATTACCAAAAAAAAATTCCCACTGGATATTACCAATTCACTACTTTGTTTCTTGGATTATTACTAATTCACTACTTTGTTTTATTCTAGAAATTGAAGAAAGTAAAATTTTTACGAGGCACCTTATTTTATGATATTTTTGCCCTTAACCAGTATTCACTTTTTTTAAAAATAAAATCTAACTAATATCTTATATTAGATAGCTTCTGATAAATTATGTCCTTCTTCCTTCATCTTCTTCTATCAAATTGGTGATTGAATTTCTTCCTGCGAAAGGAAACTTATGTTTTAAATTTGAGCTTCTTTCAAATTAATTTAAGTGTAAAATTGTTGAAATTTAAAAAACACATCTTAAGTTGGAATGCATGTTATATAGCGTAAATTTGAGCATTGAATTGTGTTTTGGATTGTTGAATTCGAAGAACACGTTATTTTTTAGACAAGAAAAGTTCAACTACACTTCAAACACACATGACTGAAGTGTATGCAAGAATTTAGTAAATAAAAAGTTTGAAGTTAGCTTTGGTAGACCAGGTAAATCAATTTTTTTTGAGGTTTTGCAATGTCAAGTCTACAAATTTAGTAAAACAATCTAAAATTGGCTTTGGTCAGTCATATCAAACTTCAGGCAAATTTTTTTAATGTTTACCCTTCATAAGGCTATACTTTAGATAAAAATGTCTGAAGTTACACACAAATTTTAATTTTGACGATTAAAGTTATTTTTCAAAACATATAAATTTATATTTTTTTTAAAAATAAGCACAAGCTAAATGAGGACCCTAAAATAGCTATTTAAGACCTATCGAAAAGAAAAGGCCAAGCAATGTCCATCTAGAAAAGACCCAATTTCAGACCCATAGGCAAGTGAGAATATTATAGAACCAATAGATATACTCCCTCTGTCCCAATTTATATGACTTACTTTCCTTTTTAGTTAGTTCCAAAAAGAATGACACATTTCTATATAAAGTAACAATTTAATTATAAAATATCAATTTTACCCTTAATGAAATGATTTACAGCCACACAAATTTCTATCATTAATTTTAGACCACAAGTTTTAAAAGTCTTCATTTATTTATTAAACTTTGTGCCGAGTTAAAGTATCTCACATAAAATAGGACGGAGGGAGTAATTATTATGAACTTTCTCTTTCAAGTTCTAGAGATAAACTTGAGAATATTATTATAGAATTTCTTTGATAGAATTTAAAAGGGTAAATCACATAAATATGCTATATTAAAAAAATATTTACCATCTATAGCAATATAATTTTTCTAACTAAATATAATAATTTTTTGAAATTAAAAAATTGTACCGTCTATATTCGCTTTGCCTCTTTCTCTGCCTTTTTTTTTTCTCTTCCTCCTCTGCTTCTTTTTATTTTTTTTCTTCATCTCTTTTTGTGTCATTCTATATCTTCCTCCTCTTCTTCTTCTTTTTATTCTTCTTCTTCTTCTTTCAAATTTCCATCTAAAGAACTCCTCTAATCAGTTTTTACCCATAATTTGCAATTTTCACCCAAAAATACGATGATAAAAGGAACAGAAATACCAAAAATTTGTACAAAATTAAGTTTTCAAGCAGAAATTTCAAATATCTAAAATTAAAACAGCAAAAGTTCACCATTGATGGTTATTATAAAGCTTCAAATTTTGAATTCATTATTTGAATTTTATGAATTTGTGATTAGTTTCCATTCATATTTAATTCAACTTTAATATGTGTGTAATACTTTTTAATTCAAGTTTAATTCATTTGGCAGTTTATTATGTTTCTTCATTTCTTACGATTAAATTACTTGTCTAATTAATTATTGATACAAGTTTTATTTAGTCTACGAATCATTGACTGCTCTTTCGTTTGTATTAGATATATTTCATAATTGTATTAAAATTGTATTAAAATCATGAACAATACATTTAAAATACATATTGCGAATTTCACTCCCCTTTTAATGATATCAACTAAAATAATTTAGGTGACACACTTATAATACATTTATAATACATATTGCAAACATCACTCATGTTCTTAGTGATACAAACCAAAAATAATTTACAAGACACATAAAATACTTGTTTTATTCATGAATAATACAAGTTTAATTCAATCTGTAGATTATTGTCTTGTCTTTCATTACTTACACTTTTTATTCATTCTTAATTCTCTCTTCTAATTCAATTTTAATTTTGTATAATACATTTTTAAAGCAAATTTAATTTTGTATAATACTTTCATTAGTTACGTCTTTTTATTCATGCTTAATTCTCTCTTCTAATTCAACTTTAATATTTGTGTAATACACTTTTAATACATGTTTAATTCATTTTGCAGTTTATTGGTTTATTTGTTACGATTGGATTACTTGTTTAATTCATTATTGATACAAATTTTATTCAATTTACAGATAATAAAATGCTCTTTCGTTTGCTACATCAATGATCAGCCAAGGATTGGAGAGATAAAAAAAGAGCTCATAAAAAGTTTGTAGAGAGAAAGAAAGGAAGAAAGAGTGCGAGAGAGAGAAAAAAAAAGAGCGAGAGAAACACAATTTAATAAAATACATTGTATTGTTATATATTGTTATAAATGGTAATAATTAAAGAGTATATTTAAAATAAGTAATTATTTTTTAAAAGGGATCCACTCAAGTAATTAACCCAATTTAAAACTCCATAATATTTTTCAATTAAAGAGGAAAAAATGGCCCAATAAACTCTTTTTCTACGATGGCCCAACCCACTTCGTTCTCTTACTCAGCCCATTTTCTTTATGATAAAGCACTTTTATGGTCTGCAATTAACTTTAGGGAAAAGGATACTTATTAAGTTGTATCGAAAAAGGAAATTATTTACCAACGACTATCCTCTTACTTTTATATCTCCTGTTTTTAACTACTATTATGCGTTTACTGCTTGATATCATCAAAGTATATGTATAGTTTGATGGTATCAAAAAGGAAGAAACATTTTTTTAGTGAAAACACTACTCAATTACTCCTTGATGCCATTAGGATATATATATAATCTGACGACAACACGAAGGAACATGCAGAGTTTCGGTGAAAAGACTGTTCAATTACTGTTTGATACAATTAGAGCATATAGATACTATCACATTATATACATACTCCGATGATATCAAGGGTGAAGAAGCAATGGTTTAGTAAATAGAACAAGGGATAGTCGGGTAAATAGGTTGGGTGTCCAATCAGGATAAATATACTATATTGAGTCCAATTTAAATAAATACTTTACCTACTAGGTTCAATTTATGTAGTTTTCCTCAACTTTACCAAGAAAAAGAATTGGGTAAAAGAACCAACAAACACATCGTATTGGATTTTTTTTCTTGATCATTCAAGTAAATTCACTAGGCTTAATTAATTGAGATTCCCATTGAATAGATTCATGACTTGTACTCAAAATTCTAATTAAGAGTGAAGAAATTTTAATCATATCTGCGCTACACCCTTTAATAATAGTTGAGTTTGATTTCAAATGGAGGTCATTATATTCGACTATTTGTTTAATTTGCAGTGGAATTCTATAATTGACAACATTACCCCTATTAGTTTGCTTTCCTTTTGTGAGAGGGGTAGGGGCGGAGCTTTAGTATATGGATTCAATACAATTTAATAGTTTGATTCAAATTTTATATTATGTTATCTACGTTTAAATATGTAAAAAGATCCAATAAAATTTGGTTACTAGCATTTGAGATCACTATTCTGTAATTTAAAATTAATTTATAAA